AAGATAACACTTGCCTTTAATTATTTAGTTATGTATATATAGTACAAGTAGCCTTTAACCTTGTAACTTATTAAGCTCAATTCAAATTTTTTAAAGATTGATTTTGATAAGCCACAAGCTTAAAAGCTGGAATCTGACTTCTATTAGTATTGTATCACTTATATATAGTTAAGCAGAATATTAAAAATTTTAGTTTTATATAAAAAGTTACTAAGAAAACATGGTATGGCTAAAATTTACAGAATATCAAAAACACAACTTCTTTATATAATATGCAGAAATAGTAGGTTTTTTCAAATGCTGTTTACCTGATTTGTTTTTTTTTTTTATATTAAGGTGACCACTTGAAGTCTGGCATATTAATTTTGGTTACGAATGCCAGGGCAGCCACAGAGCCACCTCTGACTTTATTACATTAATGAGAATACATTCTAGTTATATCTGTGCCTTTTGGACATCTAATTAAATAGAGTTTGTATATTATTATGTTTTACACTAGATGCCATATCTGCAACCCACTATTATTTAAATTACCTAATTAAACTCTCTGATCAACTTAGTGCTGTTAGGATATTTTTTCCAAAGAGAAATTGTTGCTAAGGCCCCTTAGAACTATTTTATCCTTGTGGTAAACCTACTAAAGTGGTCTATATTCCACACATGTATTATTTAGATTTTTGGTAACTTACACCTAAGCTGAGACCAAGTACTTGTGAGCTAAAGCCACTATCATTATCTACTCTGTATCCTTGCAAAGTTCATCCAAACTCCAGTATCCACTATATAGACTATCACTGATATCTAAGTTCTGTTAGTAATCTAAACTTCCAATCCAAATAGCCCAGAAGGGCTGTAACCTGTCCCTAGTCCCCATGGTTGGGTTTTTTTTTTCTGGCACTCCTCTATCGGCCTGATTGTTATAGTGTCTTGCCAAATACTGGTTCTTGTCCAGATTACTAAAATAGGTGTTTGGATTCCTTAGATAGCCCTTTACATAATACCATTAAAGATCTGTACTATCTTTCTACTCGAGACCTGCCAAGCGGGTTTTTGTGTGCGTCATAGCCCAATACCTGGATTACTCACTGCTTCAATCAGATTTTGTATAACTCATATATTACACTAATGTTTTATAGCCTCACAGTAAGTCCTAATGTGACCAAGTTTACAGATCACACTAATCTATCAGATTATAGACAGTCTGCTATAATACATTCTGTAAAATTTGAATTTCGTCGCTAGTGGGATTCAAACTCTAGTCTTGCCATTTGGAGTGCGACAACTTATCAACTTCATTAAGTCATCACACTCTGTTTATCTAATTTGTAAATATATAAATAGTAGATTGCTCAACAACATTTACTTAATTATTCAGTAAAATTAAAATTCTCCTTTTTCACTAGAATATATTCTAATTATTCTATAAATTTTTTATGCACTTTATCTAATTATTTATTACAATTCCTATTATTCAACCTTAATTACTTTCATAACTAAATTAATCCTATTTAACTAATTGGACATTTTGCAAAATAATGTTTTTATTTTTATTTTTATTTTTTTAATGTTAAGGTGACCACTCACAGGTCTGGCACAGTTTATTAAACTTTTGGTCTGATACTAGCATAGTCACATAGACAGTGTCTGATCTTGTTACATTAACAAGAGTATACTCTAGCCATATCTGCATCTTTTGAGTATCTATTTAAGTAGTCTGCCTATCCTAAATCTACACTAGATGCTGTATCTATAACCCAACTATGAGATTACCCATTTAAACTCTCTAATCAACTTTATACCATCGGATATCTTCTCTAAAGAAGAACCTGCTGCTAAGGCCTGCTAAGTCTTTAAAGCAGACACACACTTCCATATAGAGGAGTCCTTTAATTTTGTGATAAATCTACTAAAGCAGTCTATGTTTTACATATATATCATCTAGTTTTTTAGTAACTTACACCTAGGCCAAGACCAAGTACTTGTGAGCCAAAGCTGCTATGTTACCTACTCCTTGCTCTTGCAAAGTTTGCTCAAACCGTAGTACCTACTTTACAGACTATCACACGTACTTCTGTCACCCTGAACTTTCAATTCAGATGGCTCAGAAGGGCTGTGACCTGCTCTTGGTCCCTACAGTTGAGTCCTTTTCCTCCAGTCTTCTCCGGTGGTCTAGTTAGTGAAGTGCTTTGCCAAACACTTTGGTCCTGTTTGGTTCTCATTACTTCCAAATGATAATCCTTTACATAATACTGTCAAAGATTTGTGCTATCTCTCTACTCGGAACTTGCCAAGCGGACTTCTGTATCCTATCAATTTGCTAGATTTATTTGGTAGCTTCACTTGGGTTTTGTATAACATACATCACACTAAATGTTCCACTACCTCCCAGTACAAACTGGTGCGACCCCGTTACAGATTCTAAAATCCAATAGGATACAGTCTTCCTAATGCATTCCGTAAATTCGAATTTCGTCACCAGTAAGATTCGAACTCTTGTCCTGCCGCTTGGGAGTGTGACAACTTCCCAACTTCACTAAGTCGCCACATCCTCAAAATAATGTTTTTATAAGAAAAACTCTTTGGAGAATTTATTTTAAAAAAATATACAAAGTACAAATAAATTTATTGTTAAAAAAATATTGTTAAAAAAAGTTTTTAAAAATTTTTAATTCTTATAGCAACTCTTTCTGACGATCCTCTGGTCAACAACAACAAAAACTGAACTACAGCAAAATGTATAAGAAGGCAACAAAGTAGATACTAAACTTGGTCCTATAAGTAGAAGCAGCTTGTTGTTGACGAAGTCTAAGCATCTAAATATGAAACACCAAGAAGCAGGCATCAAAAAAACAGACAGTTTTCTTTGGGTTAAGTTTTTTCTTCTTTGACAGACTCTTCAAGATATTCGGCATCCAAACCAAAAGCATTATTCTGAAAACAAGAACAGCACTAGGATGTAGGATAGATTTTCTGATCATGTGCACATCTGACCTGAAACCCGCCTCAGACCCACCTCAGAATTTATAACAATTTGCAAAAAATATTTTATAAAACACTAATAAATAATCTAGCGGTTTGTATCAACAAATTATAACATTGCAAAATCTGTATAAAAACATAAATTCGAATTGCACGTTTAAATAAACACATTAAGCATTAAATGCATGCTGATTAAATTAAAACAATTAGTTTAAAGATCTTGACCACGTTCTTTATTTGAGCTCAATGCAAATACTCAATTCATTAATGCGATCAGCTCTTCTGCAATGCATATATATACAGTCAGACCTCCCTAAATGCACGTCGTCAGGACCAGCTTTAGAGCATGTATTTAGGGAGGGTTGCAATTAAAGAACACTAATAAAATCACTATGTGACTATTATCACATAATAAACGTGTCTTTAATTGCCTAGAATAATGGATTTGATTAGTTGATAATCACGTGGATGCATTTATGGAGGGAGTTTTTATAAGTGGGCCAGACAATTAGCATGTACTTACAGAATAAAGAACGTGCATTTATCTATAAGTTCTACCATGGGCCCGGGCTTATATCATATATTTAGGAGGTGTTGCATTTAGGGAGGGTGCATTTAGAGAGGTCTGACTGTACGTGTAATTATCACTAGAGTTAGATAAGATGCAATTTGAAAATTGCCATAAAGCAGATAACAAAAAATATTCAGAAATTTGCTTAAACCAATACTAATATTTGAAGCATTAACTTAAATCCAAAACCATTAATAAAGATATATCCATTCTTAGAATATCCGCATTATTTGATAGCATATCCATTGTAAAATCAAAAATAAAAAAAGCGATCTTAAAATGCTGATATCTTAAAAATGGCTTAATTTTTCTTGATGATTTTTGATTAAATTAATGTTTCAAATTGCAGCATTCATTTAAGTCCTAAATTATTGAGAATAGCTTAGTTATTCTCAAATTATATAACAATTTTTAAATATTCTGCTACCCACATATATATCGTTGATATTAATTATATCTAATTTGATGATAAAAGCATAATAACATTAATAATATAAGCTGTGACATTCACACATGATTCATGTGACTTTAATAATGTGACCACCTAAAGGAGCTAATCTAAAAAAGTAAGGTAATTAAAGCTATAATATTAATGCAAAAAACTATAACCAAAAATATAAAAGTAATTAAAGCTATAATCAAAAACATAATACGTAAAACTAGAATAGGCTGGTTCTGAGTAAGGCTGTGTTAATATATACAAAAGAATATGAATTTTGTATTCATAATGATGCTTATCTAAAAAGAGGAAAAAAATTATAATAAAAAATAAAAAATTAATCAAAGTCACAATAAAGAATAAAAAGCAATTAAAGTACTATTTAGAATGAAATAAAGCCAAAATAGGTTGGTTTGGTCAAGATCGTATTAATGCATATTAAAATCATTGGTCCATAACTCTAAAATAATAAGTAATGTTAAAAATGAAAAGTAATTAAAGCCATAATAAAGAATCAAATAAAACTAAAATAGGGTTGTTTTCAGAAAAGGCTGTGTTAATACATGTGAATTTTAGAGCTCCTATCATAATAGAAAAAAACAAAATTAAAAAAAATATCTTGTAAGAAAGTGAAGTAAAAATACTACCATTGCGATTCTCTAAGCCCCAAAATTATAAGTTATAGATCCAACAAATTAGGCTAGTTAAAGCTTTCTTAAAGCACATGAATGTTAAAGCCTCTTCTATTCATAATAGAAAAAAGAAAATATTTGATAGAAAGCAAAATGAAAAAAACTCCCATTGCAATTCTCTAAGCCCCCAAAATAATAAATTAGTTATAGATTGAACAAACGAATTAAGTTAATTAAAGCTTCTCCAATCGTATCTAAAAAGTATAAAAGAAATAAATGTAATGTTATAATGTATCTTCGAATTAAAAATATCAAGCTTTCTACATTAATTAAATTCTTACTTATTTCGCCTTGTCAATTTCATTTGATAATAACAAATATGAGCGATTTGAAAATGTGTACTTCGTGTATGCACTTTTTACCCCCAGACGCTTTCATTTATAAAAATAAAAATTACAAGACCTGCTCAGATTGCTTAACTACAAGGTCTAATAAGAGAGCAGAAAAAAAAGTTCTTTCTACTAATAACCAATTAGATAATGTTAATAATTGAATAGAAACTCAATATGAAAATGAAATAGAGATGATTGCTTTTACTGAAATTATTGAATATGTGTCTAATCAAATTGCTAGTATTGAACAAAACTCCAAGATTTTCTTTAGCATATGTGTTAAACTTGACAATGATATACTAGTCAAGGTTAATCATAATATGAGGCTTTTGGTAAGATTAATCGTAGATGAAATCAAAGAAGGTGATGGATACAATTGGACGTAAGTAATCTTTGATTAACCTATTAAATATTAGGACAATAAATTAATTAATTATATTGTAGATTCACAACTGGCCCTAACATATCAGTACGTCATACTAGTGTTGGTACTTTTTATCTTCCTTATTCTCAAAGCTGTGAACTAGAACGTGAATATAAGGAATCAAATCGCAAAAGAATGACCCGATTTGATTGTCACAGCAAATTAGTTATTAATGTAGATGTGGACGCAAAAGAAATAAGAATTAAACTTAGTCATGACATTCAACATGAGAAGCCTATAAATGTTATGACTTCAGAAGAAATAAAACGTGAAATTATGCTAAATATTCATATGAATCCCGTACAAATTCGAACACATCTTCATCAGAAATTTGATATTTCACAAGTTACTCCAAAGCAAATTAATTATTGGTGGTCTGTTTTCAACCAACATTTTTTTAAATTAGATAAAGATCTAGTTACTTCTGCACATCGTTTTTTAGAAAATCCTAGTAATAATAGCAAGTTTTGTTATGAATAGAGGGATAGTTTAGTTACAGCAATTGGATTCACAACCCCTTTACTAACTAAACTTTTGCCAGTGTCAAGTATTCATTGCGACACAACCTACAAAACAGCTAGAGGGAGGTTTGAGCTTTATGGGATTATTAGTAATACTGATAATATAGGGTTTCCACTTGCATATTTGCTATTAAATACCACAAATGCACTCGATAATAAACAAGTAAGCCTTCGAACTAAAGCACTTGTTGGTTTTTTTCATTCCTTTTATAACAAGGGGTTACGGCCACAATACTTCTTTACTGATAAGGATTTCGCCGAAATCAATGCTGTAATAGAAGTATGGCCAAATATTAGCGTGCAGCTTTGCCTCTGGTATATAAAAAAGGCAATAAAAGAAAAGCTAAAGAGTCATAATAAAATTAAACGTACTCAGTACCAACCTGATGAAGCTATCGCTAAATTTGATTTTATTAACCCTTCTTTTAAGCCTGATTTAAATCAGCAAGAATCTGATTACTATATTGTATATCCACCAGAACTATGTAATCAAGCCATTAGTCTTATAGAAAAACACTTTAATATGCATACGAAAATTCCTGTAAATGCTGCTGGTCAATTTTTAACAGCTAAGGAAATCTATATTAATGTTGTTCACGAAATATATAATTTCTGTTTTGAAAATAACCTTTCACTTCTTTGGGCATACCTATGGTCTTCATGGTACAAAGTTACAAGATGGTCGCTCTGGGCTTGATCAATACAGGTAGATATTCCACTAAGTAAAACGAACATTCATGAGCAACAACCCCAGGAGCAAATTTTACGTTTTTGATACTTTTGCACTTACTTTTTTGATACACCTAAACATACTCTAAAACTAACCAATAGAACTGTATGTTTTTATAATAAAACTTTAATAATAAAAATTTTAGGGTATGGTTAGGTGTATCAAAAAAGTAAGTGCAGAATTATCAAAAATGTAAGTTTTGCACCCCAGGATCGCCGTAAAAAGTTACTGTCACGTGATGATCGACAAATAGCGAGTCTCGCTTTGGTGTAACGTAACACAATCAGGAAGATCAAAACAAAACGTTCGATTTTTCAAAAGTCACTTATTTTTCAAAAATTTGCATAAGAAACCACCTTCTGCGTTCTAACAAAAAATTTTCTTGGCCAATTTTACTATAAACCCACTAACACATGGCCCCATAACCCTAACTTAAACGAACTTAAAGATTTTTTAATACGTCACGGATACTATCACGTGACAGTAACTTTTTCACGGCGACGCTGGGGAAAATGTCTAAACCCACCTCGGATGGGTTAATTAAAAATGTCGGGAAGGCAATTTTGCTAATATATCACTACCTAAAACCTAACCTAGCCTAATATAATAAAACCTAACCCTAAAGTTAATTCAATAAAATATATATTATAAGAATTTGCTCCGCTTTAGACCCCTCTTTTTGGTAAAAGAACTTCAATTGGAATTTTTTTTAATTCTATGGTACGAAATTTGTACCAATCATTAGCTGTGTTATTATTTGGCACACAACCGCCTTTTAAAGCCTCAGGGATCCCCACGGATTCCTAGACTACATATTCATAGAATAACTTTTGCAAGAAAATTTTAGTTTCTTTATAATAAGCAAACAACGCTTTTTTTTTAAATAGAAATCGATTTTAGAATAGCCTTTTAGTATATTGCAGATCATTTCTATATCGCGTAAAAATACCCGACTGTCGTTATAGATGTCCTATATGAAATATTTTTGTGTAACATTCATAATAAACTACTGCGGCAATAGTATAGTTCGATAAAATTTTACTCTTTATTACATTAAAATATGCTATTAAATAGACTCTCATTCGAAATTTCTAAATAGATTAATATATAGAATGTCGAGAAAAAATATATGGCAATTTTCTATAAAAATTGCAAACTTCAAATTGTATCTCTTCGACATTCTACATTTTAATCTATTTGGAAATTCGCACGGATAGCAAATTTTTAATGAAAATGAGAGCTTTTTTCATAAACTAAAAAATAATGGATTATTACATTTACGATAATAATAAAAATACTGCGGCTATAGTATAATTTCTAATTGTATGAAAAAAGCTCTCTTTTTCATTAAAAATTTGTTATCTGTTATATTTTCACACGAAATTTCCAAATTGATTAATATGTATAATGTCGAGGAGGTACAATTTGACGTTTGCAATTTTTATAGAACCTTGTCATATATTTTCTCGGTATTCTGTATATTAATCTATTTAGAAATTCCGCATGAGGGTTTATTGGATAGTACTGTATATTTTAATGTAATAGAGTGCCTTTTCATAACTCGAAAAATAATAAAAGAATGAAATTTTATCGAATTATACTGTTTTATTATGAATGTTATTAGGGTTCGGAATGGGCCGGGCCGAACCCAGCAGTTTACAGGTTGGGCTGGGCCTAGCCCGGCCCAACCCGTAAATTTCAAGCTTGTAATTACAGTTGTTTTCATAAATTCTGGGACGCCTGATAAAAATTTGCCGAATGATTTTTCGGTCGATTCGATTAAGTTATTAATTTCGGCATGATCGGTGTATATTTTACATGTAATAATTGTACTACAGATAATTTTATCATTATTAGGTGTATATGCAACGGTGTCGCACTAAATCAGGAACGTAGGCAACGATATTTATAATTATATATGCTAATTCTTACAGTCATAAATCTCTTGATTAGATATAGTAATACAACCTAATCTTGAATTTTATTCATTTATTTTGTCGCAATATAGAGTTTCGCATTATGATTTCATCAATTGACTAGTTTGTGAAGCGGTTAGAGAAATTTAGAAAATATATAGATCGTTAAATTGACATAAATAATTGGAACCTAAATGGAAGGTATAACAGTACTGTAACTAAAAATTGCATATATAGGTAGTCCTGCAACCCCGTTCAAACTAGTAATTAGATATGATCAGTGTAATACCAATTTTTGATAATAAAATATTTGATTAAATATAAAATAAAAACTTACACTTGTCTTAATAAATTAAAAACACAACACATTAGTTTTGAATAGAATTAATAACCAATTAAAAATTAAGCAAATGATCTATGTTATAACAACCAATCAAATTTCATAATTTGTTAACAAGACATCGGTGTATTATAGCTCCGCCTTCGGACAACCCTAGATAAAGAATTGTGTGAAATTTGTAAATATTACATTCGTGTTTGAATGTGAAAAATGGTAATAAAGGTTTATTTCAAATAAATAAAAATTAGAATGGCATTTTTTTCACACACCTAAATATGGCAAGAATGTAGATCATTATGTCATCAGGTTACTATATCTAGCAAACTCGAATTTAACCATACACTCGTTTCCCAGTGTTGGCATTTGGACCAATAAAAATTTTATTTGGACATGGACTAATCCAAATAGTGTCCATGTACATATTTTGTATATATATTGCTCAATGGTCAAAAAAATTTTTTTTAAAAAAGTATCCTGACGTAGTGACGGGCAATTTACGGACTTCAATATCCTGCATGGAATAAAGATAATCACTTTATGGTTCACTCATGTCTTCTTTGCTAAGATCTTTCGAAATTTTGCCCGTATTTTACGTTCAATGACTTTCTATCCGGAATATTTCGGAATAGTAAACATTCGATTTTTTTTTATTTTTTTTGGACTAAGTATCTATGTCCAATAAAAAAATATGGACAATATGGACATAGTCCATAAATGTCCATGTCATTAGTCCATATTGTCCATGTCCATATTCTGCCAACACTGCTCGTTTCACTACGTTCCTGGTATAATATCGGCACATTCGACACTAAAATTTTTGTTTGTACACTTACCCAATATGTTTGATGTGTTTAGTTTGTACGAAATTTATGAAAAAGACTGTCAAGAAATGCAAAAAAGGTTATAATAAACATATTACAAGATTTAACATTTGTCTAAAATGAATTACAAAAGTATTTTAATACATCCATATCTTTGAAAGTGCTTGAGAACTCGACTTGTAGAAGATTTGCTAACACCTAAGTGTTTAGAATTTTTTGAACTGATAAACCTAAAAATTTTTTTTCATTTGCCAACGAAGATGCTTTAAAAATATATATGCGTATTGTATGGTCTTATAATATTCCCTATAAAAAAATCTCTTGGAGTCATTCTGAAATTATCCAATTTTTGTTTAGCAAATCGACTCCGTTTTGAATATTTACAAGGATGCTTATTGGATATTATACATTTTTTGTACGATAATCATTTAATCAAATATTCTCTATTTTTACGTTCCGTACAAACATCGTAATGAAAACAGCATAAGAATAAACTCCTGTTCGGAAAATCGAACAATTTTAGAACATTTTTATAGGGATTTTATATTAGTCACCTGATCTTAAATTTCTACTAGGTAGTAAAGTCAGAAAATTATTAGATAGAAAAAAAATTTTTTTTTGTTCTATTATTTATAATCACCACTGTATAATCCAACCAAGGTCTAGCACTAAAGACCACTACCCCAGTGGCACTGACCGATTTTCACTAATCAACAATCAAAACAGTCAGGGATTTTACCATATTTGGTTATTGACGATCGCACCTTATTTAGTACTGATCGTCGGTCGGAATATTCTAGCCTTTTTTCCAGATTGTTCTGCGTATTACAATGATTGACCAATCAAATCGCAGAAGTTATAATACTATATAAGGTACGAACCTTAT